ATGTATCTTTCAACAACTGCTGGGTGAAGGTCTCTAGTACGTTTGGCCTCCAGATACTACCTCAACTTCTGTCTGGCCTCCACATACTACCTCCACTACCATCTGTCCCTCCACATACTACCTCCACAACCGCCTGACCTCCACATACTACCTCCACAACCGCCTGACCTCCACTCATTTCACCCACTCTCCAGGAAGCTGACCGTACCTACTGTATGTTGAGTTATTTACAGAAGAAAAGGGAAATTGTTTAAGTCTTCAGAGAGATGGTAAAAAATGTATACTTATTTCCTCAAGTTTCCCGTCCTCTCTCTCTCTCTCTCTCTCTCTCTCTCTCTCTCTCTCTCTCTCTCTCTCTCTCTGTGTGGTAAACGCTTGTCTTTGCTACGTTAAATTTACCTTAAACCGGAGATGTGAGAATGTATGTAAGTGATTTATGTTTAATTGTTTTTTCTTTGTCAATTTCTTTTTCTGTGTGTGGGGTCTGCGTGCCATGGTTCTCAAATGGTTGTGTTCACTGTCTGTAGTGTTAGTATCAGTCATTGTCGTTTTAGTAATTTTAATGTTTTTTTGTTCGGTTCACAAGTCTATAAAATGTCGTGTTAAGGTTAGTTTAGGTTAGGTTAGATTAGGTTGGATCGGGTTGGGTTAGGTTAGGTTAGGTTGGATCGGGTTAGGTTAGGTTAGGTTAGGTTCCAATTTCATGAGAAAAACCTCAACTTATCCTCCATTATTCCTACAAGGGAAGCGTGGCGCCACAGTCGTTTTTCCAGGATGATTAACAAAGGATGAGATGACGAGCTTAGTAGTCTCCTCTGTTCCCGTGATTAAGTATTAGTTAAGCTGACGAAGGTTTGTGGTCGTACACTAATTAAAACAAACTATTAATTGGACTGAGACGCGATGCTGAAGCCGGGGGGGGAGGGGGAGGGGAGGGGGTGCTCGTCGTGTTATTTGTCCACTTAAAGAGTTATGAACCAGGTGATTTGCTGTACCTTATTATGAAGTCCAGTGTATAATGTAAAGTACGATGAGTGGAGAATAAGCCCGGATATTAGGAGGTATTAACTGGAGTGCGTGGTCAGACCCCCGGCAGCAGGCGTGCCAGCGGACCACACTTTTCCTCCTCCTCCCATCACGTGTAATATGATCCCACTGTGTAAATATTACTCATTGTGAAAGAGTTTTAAGTTGCTAATTGAAAATGGATGTATTATATGGGGGCCGTCTGGCGTTCTCTTGTTTGTGCTTCAACTCTGTTCTGGATGATTATTACAGCATTAACTCCCACTGTGCACACGTCTTGGAGGGTACAGAGTGACCTTCCATATATGATAATTCTATTTGTACAGGTAATCGGTAGTTCTCCTTCTATATACACATTTCAACTTGTCGCTAAGATTGTATGTGTTGTGTCCAGTGTTTAGCTTTGTGTCGTAAGTTAGTGTACATGAGCTGAAGTAGTAAGTACTGTGTGATGGGCGATATACGTACATTGTTTTTGGTTTTAAGACATATTAGATGGTTTGTTTTTGGTTTTAAGACTTATATTAGATGGTTGTGGGGCTAGTGAGGAGGGGGAGGTAGTGAGGAGAGGGAGGTGGTGAGGAGGGGGAGGTAGTGAAGAGAGGGAGGTGGTGAGGAGGGGGAGGTGGGGGAGGGGGAGGGAAGTTGAGAGTGGGTAACATCAGCTGAGTAAATATGAGTACAGTACATGGTGGTGTTGGGCAGCAGTGTCGGAGTAGCTAGCTAGTTAAGTCTCAAGGCAAGGCGGATCCAGGGGGGGTCCTTGAGGATCGGATCCCTCTTTTCACCAGAAAATTCCAATACTTTTTCTTTAATGCAGTATTGTACTCCGGCATTTTTGTACAGTAAAAAAAAATATTTACGATTTACTTCAGAATGTCACCTAATATCAAGTGCGCATGGCTTCAAAATGGCCCTGTACTATAACTAGTACAGGGAAAAAAATACAGTAACGGGAGAGAAAGTTCGGAGGAAAATGCAATAAGGGATGAATGTTGGCAGGGGAAGAAAAGTCGTCAACAGGGAAAGAATTTGGTACTAGGGAAGAAAATGATGAGGAGGATGTAATTATGGGCTGTAATTTGGCTAGGGAAGAAAGTCGTCAACAGGGAAAGAACAAGGCAATTATACGTGGGTGCATGAGGGGAGGAGATTGGCGGGGGAGAAAATAGGGAAGACTTCATGAACACGATAAGAAGGTGATAACGGGAAAGCAAAACATGATAGCGTGATGAAGGATACCGGATAATGAAGTCAAGATAGCAAACAAAATGATAGCTGACAAGGAAGACAAAATAACGTAAAGAACGATAGCGGATAAAGAACTCCTGTAGGTGGTGCAGGAGGACTGACTATCACAGGTTTGAGTGAGGCAGTGAGGCGCCTGCAGCACAAGACGCGTTCATGAATATTGAACAGTAATTACACACGATGAACTACAACACACATGCCAGCACTACATAAAACCTCCCTATAACGGACTTCTCTTTCCATATAATCCGCTAGCTGGGAGGTTTCACTTTTAACAGACCTTCGATATAACGGACTTTCATCTCTGTATAGTTCGTTTGATGTTTTTTTTTTTTACTTTTAATGGGCCCTCGATATAGCGGATATTCCTCGCCACACAGTTCGTTATATAGAGGTTTTACTGTACTGGTGTGTCTCATGTGTTCATAATTATATCTTTCACACATATGTTTACTCACGTCTTTATTGTGTTATTCTTCTTCCTTATCCCTTACTCTTCTTCCTTCGCTCTTATTCGCATTTATCACCACCTCTTCTTGTTCTATGTGTTTACAGTATCGTCATATCTTACACGTTAATCACTTCAGTAAACACAATAGTTAGCTCGCCTGGTGTATGTATCTTGACTAGGTGAGGAGTTTCAGGTGGTAAAGCTTTATATATTATACAATAGGTGTACTTGGGTTGCCACCTGCAGTTTAGTGTAATTGAGTCTGATGTGGTTTGTGTGTAACTGCTGTATGAATTGTTCTTATATTAACTGAATCTTAACGTATTTTCCCAAGGGCTGTTTTCATTTCTTCAAGCGCGGGTCTATGGGAGTAACTTATGACCATCGTCCCAATCTATTTTATTATTTTTTTTAACGTTTTAGGTATTTTGTTATCTCGGATCAGTTTTCCCAAGAGCAACTCAAACTCCAAGAATATCTATCGCCTTTCAGTGTGTATTAACTTATGACTCAGAGAAGAAAAACTAATGTTAGCGGGTAAAGTCAATTTCTCATCAATAATGCACAGCAGTAAACAGTACTCTCTCTCTCTCTCCACGTGTTGGGGTGGGTGTTGCGTGTTAAGTGTAGTGGTGGTGGTCCTGAGAGGCGTAATAACAGCAATAGCACGACGAGCTCTGGGGAGTGTGTGGTGACTAGCCTGTGTACAGTATGTATTTGTTAACTAGGTGTATTCGTGGAGTTTTTATTTATTGCAGTTTAACACACACACACACACACACACACACAGTCTTATTCTATACATATTTGATTGATTTTTATCCTCAACAATATGATAAAGTATCTAATTAAAAATACCAATATATTGCCCATTTAATTTTTTATGTTATTTAAAGACGTTAGTTTTATCTCTGAAATGATTAGTAATATTTTGTCGTGAGAAATTATTGAGATTCGTTCACGTTCCGTCAGCGGTGAGGAAACAAGTGAGCAACGATAGGTGAGGTTCCTGGTGTTTATGTAGGACTTCCAAAGTGGTATCGTATCGTATTATTTTAACGTAAACCTAACCTAACGTTCTGTTTTTTATGCGAGAAGTTCCCCTAACACCGTGTTGTTGTCTTAAATGCAACAAGTGGACCCTAATCGTTATCTCAAGGATTAGTATGTGTGTACCTGTGAGTGAGAGTGTGGCCCATTTGTCATGCCTGTGTTATACCTTGGGAGTGTATTAAATGGAGTGGGTCAGCGATAGTCTAGTCACAACACGTAAATAAATAATAATGATCAAATTTCTCCGCCTTCGAGACCTTTATTTTATATTATTTATCATTGTAAACGGAGACTTTTATTGTTACAGAAAGACGGTGTATGTAAACAATGGGGAGTGTGGGATCCATGAGAGACACAAGGGAAGGGTAAAAGAGGCGGGTTGTCCTTCAGTTGATTAAGATAACTTTAGTGATGACTGCCATGTGAGCACTCGGTAGACCCACAAATTAACCACTTTAGCTACATAGTGGTTGGTTTAGGTTCTTTGGTAGTGTGGACTATTTTTTTTAACTACAGTGTGGGAGCCGGAACATGGTAATTTAAGGTCATTGATAAGGAAGTACAAGGTATTGCTTTTTCTTCTTAGGATGCAAAACCGTGCATTATTTTGGCTGTACCGTGTTTACCGTATAGAATATAAATATATTATTTTTTTTTACTGGTAATTGACTTAAGTTTAATTAGAAATATTACTTTACATCGTTGTGGATGAATGTGTTGTACAGTACCTGTGGTTAGTAAACATTAATTTATATTGTGTAGACGAACAGGTGTGACAATTATTGCCAATCTAGTTTACTTACTCAAGGCGCCTTAAATGAACACGCTAGTGCAATTATTGTCCTGTAAACTCGAGGTTCACTTATTATATGGAAAGGAATTTAGTTTTCTAAAATAAAAAAAAAGGGTAACATCTGTAGTAAGGGGATGGGTTGTAGGGTAGGAACACGTAGCTCAACACAGCATCTTACAGAGAGGCTTCCGTGGCGTGCTAACTAAGCATGATGGCTCATATCCTGGTTTTACTATATCAAAGCTCCGCTGCACAGTACCCCACTCTCAGTTAACACTAAATCACCACGGCTCCTCCACGTTACCTCTTCCTTCTGGGGACAACTTTTAAGTAAAGTTATGTGTGAAATATTTACAGCTGTCGCGGTCATGTAGAAATTTTATGTATTTATTTGTTATAATATACAGTCGAGTAGTGGTTCCTTACCTTATGTGATGAGTTGTTGTTCTGGAGTGGCAGTCTTGCGTCGCGTCTTCTTGTCTCCTTACTTGGTGATTTAAACTTTTCTCACCAAACTACTCAATATATCAGATACAGTTCATCAGACACTTAAATAAAAAAAGTTTAAACCTTCAGCTTTTATAAGACCCGTAACTATTTGCTCCACCTCGTGGGTATTACTGTGGGTTCTCTCTAAACGCGAGAATCAAAGTGCGCATGAACCTTCCTCCACTGAGGCGCGCGGCGGAATGAGTAAGTTGCTGCCAGCACTAGCATATATATCTCAGGCTTCTCGGCGCGTTGTGACCACAGGGGGCGGCGGGCGTGGCCAACGCGCGGGCAAGCTTCGCTAGTTGGTTGACGGCATTGGCTTTACTAAGATGAACATTGGGGAATTTTCAGAAACTTACGGTGTAAATCTGGTTCGTAATTTACCCAATAAGGGATGATTCTCGCCCTACCTGGAGCTTCGTGGGAGGATTTTCCTTGAATAAAGTGCAGTGAATCGTGGATGCTGTAATAATGAACACCTGTGTGTCACAGTATTCTGGGAACGAACATCTTCTCTTGTACTGTTACTCATTTAGTATTTATTAATCACATCACGGAAATATTGCGCCATGTTTTAAATAGTATCGCCCAATATACAAAATATTAGTCACCTGGCCAAGCTTTACCCGGCCTCCTGATCCTAGTAGCCGGTTCCCTCACCTGATTTCATTCCGTATTGTCTGTGGCAAGTCCCTGTCTGAAGGAGGGATATTAATGGTCAGGAGGAAGGGGTGTTGGTGACGGCTGGGGACTGTGGGGCAATTGATATCATGAGGAGGTATACACTGAGTGGAGGGCTACAGCAGTGAAACTATACACAGGTTGATATAATCTCAAACACAAAATATATACGTCTGAAAATGGCATCAACAGTATTGTAACACTCTACGGTAACTTGGCACCTTAAATAACACCAGTTCGGAGACCAGTCTTCCCAAATATCTTCATTAATTTTGCATGAAGCTAATTAAGTACACGTGTCAAATTAAGGTCATTTTGGTGTAGTTTTAATTAATTTCTGTGTCTTTAGTTAAAATCAATCAATTGTGTACTTGAAGTGAACGTGTAATGAGGATTATTTTATCATAACGCTGGCTGGATTATTGTCAATATTGGTCCTGGCAGCGACGTGTACTGGCTTAATCCTCATTGTTTCTCACTGTCTTATCTCTTCTTATCACTGACGACTCGAGTATAATGGTTCGTCACGTGATAGTGCTGGATTTTTAGGTCATATCTTAACGTGTGATGTGGTGGTGGGGTGGATAATGGCTGGGGTCTAATAATGGTCGCTGGTTTGATCTTAGCTCACTCCTATTGCTCCCAAGATGTAAATAGGTACTGTAACTAACTTTAAGTGAAGGTGGTTAGGTTAAGTTTGGTTAGGTTAGGTTTGGTTAGGTTAGGTTGTCTCTCGAGGCTATACAGTGCCTATGCATGGGGTCCTCTTTAAATATAACCCAATAATATTTTTTTTACTGAATTTTTCGAACATCAACACCTCACGGTAACATCACCTCCTGGTATCAGTAAACAGAGAGACAATATGATGGTGTTAATGTCTCATATCTGTGTCTTTTAAGCTACAACAATACAACATAATCCAGTGATGTATTATAACCCAAAATAAATCATCATATATTCTCATCATCACTTGGTTGGTTCATGTTCTCGCCAGCAGAGGGATGGGGGATACAGTGCGTGTTGTAATGTAATCAGTTGTATTCTCGATGGTATAATACAGTCAGCTTATGTGTGTACTGTACCGTAGAGGGGAAGTTAGGGGGGTGGTGAGCTAAGGGAAGAGTGGGAAGGGTTCATTCATTGATATTACCGTGTAGTGTGACCCAGTAGCTGTTTCTCCTCCATACGTTGTGTTGTATTATATGAGAACCCCCTGACTGGCTCTTGGAGGGGGCGGAGGGCAAGAAACTAACACCAACCTTCAGGTAAAGTACAGGTGTGATAACAACAGAAGGAAGATCCCAGATAGTCGCTCATCCACCCTGAGTCACCTACTCCAAGTGATTGATGGATGACACGGGGAGGAGAGGGGGGGCGGCTCGTATATACTTCAGGGGTGGAAATGTGTTGTTACTGGTAATGGCCGCACTACTGGGTTAAATTAGACAGGATAAAAGTCATGCACGAGGAGGTAGACCACGGTGTCGCATTGTACGAACAGGAGATAAAGTATTGTTGAGTGAATGTTCGTGATAGGAGGCGATGAGAGGAAATAGGAGGAGGATAATATCAACACTTCACTAGAAATTTAAGTTGTGATTTGAGCCTCCCAAGGGCCAGTGGCTTCTGCGTGTGGTTGTTGACATGACAGAGAGCTTTCATAGAACAACACAAAGGAGAGAGAGAGAGAGAGAGAGAGAGAGAGAGAGGGAATATTTTTGTTAAGATAGACGTCATTGGCGCCAAGGATGAGAAGTGCTTAGGTCACTGAGAGATAGAGTAAGGAGCCCGACGCCCAGGATAAGCCTCTTAGTGATCCCTGACGTGCATGTTGTAAGTGGTAACATGATGATGACACTGATTAACACTGATGGTTGTGAGGCGGCACGCGGGCACACTCACCCCGCCCCTCACCCCTCACACGCCCGCCTCTCACCCCTCACACGCCCGCCCCTCACCCCTCACGAGCCTCTCACCCTCACACGCCGCCCTCACCCCTCACGCCCGCCTCTCACCCTCACCGCCCGCCTCTAACCCCTCACACGCCCGCCCCTCACCCCTCCACGCCCGCCCCTAACCCCTCACACGCCCGCCCTCACCCCTCCACACGCCACCCCTAACCCACACGCCCGCCTCTATCCCCTCAAACCCGCCCTCACCCCTCCACGCCCGCCCCTCACCCTCCACGCCCGCCTCTCCCTCACACGCCCGCCCCTCACCCCTCACACGCCACCCCCTCACCCCTCACGAACCCGCCTAGGGAGTAGATATTTACCCCCACGAAGAACACAACACACTATGTAATTTGACAGAAAAAGTAAACAGTGAACAAAATGAAAAGATGTGTAATAAAAACAAAAGAAAAACTGACTTAATAGATTATGGAATGAAAATAAATAAAGAAACAAATAAGTAAAATAGGATCAACTTGGTTCACTTCTAATAAGTATTTACCAACACCACTTAATTAATCCTGATGATGTTACATAATACTTCCTTGAGCACAGTATATATCAGGCGAGGTTAGATCAGGTTCACTTGGTTGGCTCTGCTTGGTGTGCTGACATTTACTAACATGACAAATACAACGTTAATGGAAAGGAAGACAAAGGTTAGGTTAGGTTAGGTTTGTCATGTAACCGCTCAGTTATGTTAATATTGTTGTTATTTAGTATCTCCCCCCCAGGTAAATCAACTGTTTCACTATGAGTATACCTGCGTGGCCAGTATAGTCTTTGTTCATCCTGGGAGTAGCGAGTTAGGGGTGTGGGTCAGGGTGTGGCAGTGTTGTGGTGATCAGACGCTGCCACAGCTCTCATTATCCAAAGTTTATATATTTTTCCTCGCAATTGTAAAATGAGACAATATGTATGTAGCAACGATAGATAATTTGAGTTATGTTGAAATGTATTTAGTAATTGGAGTTTGATAGTTTTCCCCGCCTAACTTATCCCTCTGTGTGTGTGTGTGTGTGTGTGTGTGTGTGTGTGTGTGTGTGTGTGTGTGTGTGTGTGTGTGTGTGTAAATGATCGAGAAACCCATGGTATTTTCGGTGGCTTTTATGTGTGTATATATATACCTGTGAGATGTATCTGTCATGACACGTCTTCGTCCTAGAAACACTGCCGCGTCACAGGTATATTTACTGTCTTGTGTCACTGCCCTGGGTAAAATAATAACTCTCTCTCTCTCTCTCTCTCTCTCTCAGTAAGGACGGGCGTTTTACGAGAGTTTTGTTTATCAGTACACAACATAAAGTGGGGTCCTTCATCAGGCATCACACTGTAACTTCATCAGTGTGTGTGTGTGTGTGTGTGTGTGTGTGTGTGTGTGTGTGTGTGTGTGTGTGTGTGTGTGTGTGTGTGTGTGTGTGTGTGTGTGTGTGTGTGTGTGTGTGTGTGTGTGTGTGTGTGTGTGTGTGTGTGTGTGTGTGTGTGTGTGTGTGTGTGAGAGAGAGAAATGATGCACATTTACCTGTGTGCATATGTTCAAGGGTGTGAGTTTGTAGGTGTGCATGAGACTGACTGACTGACTGAAGGGGTGAACAAGAGCTTCTGTGTTCACTAAGCAGCATGTGACATCCCCCAGCACCACACGACACAGACATGACCTCAACACGTACAGGAGGCCCCACAACTAACCAGCCAATGGTGTTACGAGGTCTTCTGAGAACTAGTGGCGGACGGTAAATTTATAGTCGGGAGGAGACGACGTGATAACAGGGGGTAGAGGTGGTAGGGGTGGGGTAATGGTAGTGGGGTGGTGGTGGTAGTAGTAGTGGTGGTGATGGTGGTTGCAGTAGTAGTGGTAACGGTGGGTTTGATGGTGGTGGTTGTAGTAGTGGTGGTAGAGGTGAGTTTGATAGTGGTAGTAGGGGTTAAGATGCTGTTCTGAGAAAGAGAGAGATCATTCCCTCTGTTATTATCACTCTCTGCTTTATGTTGTCGTGGTGTCAGCCTTTGTAAACACCGAGACGTGAACCTGAAGACAGTGACACTTATAGACGGCATAAAAACAGCAAGAGGGGGAAATATAAAAGATAATCGAGCTAATAGTTATTTCTTATCTCAGCAAGGTCACAGGAGGAGGAGGGGGAGGGAAGTGTGTCGCCCGCAAGCTTCTTAACTGTGTAGGTACGTCGGTAATTATTGATAACTACAGAACTTCAAGAATTTTATTGATCTGAACTTGGTGCGTACATTCATTCTGATCATTCTGTTTATGTTTTCTGAGGTTGGGTTAGGTTAGGTTAGGTTAGGTTAAGGAAGGCCGCAACGTAACTCAAACAACAACAAGGGTGGGTGAGAGACGGGCCCTGGTCGCTCACATTGTTTACATTAACAGCAGCTGCAGGGTGTAAATATTTGACCATAAACCGCCACTAAAAGCTGCTGCTGTGTTTTTGGTAGTGGTGTTGGTAACACTGTCGTTAATACGTTGGTGTGTGTCTACCTTAATGTGTGTACTGTATAAGATGGTGGTCAAGGTCGGTGCTTGTGCGGTGAATGTGACGCTGCTCTTCCTTCCTCTGTGTTATGGTCTGGGTTAGGCTAGATTAGGTTAGGATAGGTTAGGTTAGGTTAGGCTTACTTACAGGTTGATACAGTGAGCGAGGCTTGAGTTATATATCCCATTAATTACACTCGTAGTTGCTGTCCATGAGACTAGTTTTTAATTGCCTAAATCAGTGGAAATATTAATTAGTGGACACACACGTGCCTTTATTATCTCTACATCGTCTTAGAGTTCCAGGTTGGTGTAGGGAACATTATCAGAATTATACCCGTAATTACTTTCTTTATTTCTGTAGGATAGTCATGTGTTTTGGGACCACTCAGGGTGAACTATTTCCCTATATCTGGTTTTGGAAATTCTTGATATTTTTTTACAATAGCTTGGGTTCAGTAAATCATGGTACTGTACTCTCTTGTTTATGTTTACGTCAGCGGTACACGAGGAAGATTGTCTATTTAAAGTCCTGGAGGAGGATGACGCCCTAGCTCCTCGTGTTACTCCTGCTAACATGTGTGTCTCGGGGTGTTGTCGCACTTAACAAAGACAACGTCACCAATATTTTTTTCTCAAGTCCATTACAAGATAACCAGTAGTTGTGTTACATGTTAATGATGATTAGTGAAATCTTGAGGCGGCTATTGTTAGCACCTTATCATGTGTGGTTATTACAATACAGTGATGTCAACCTTCACGACAGGTACAGATGACGGACGGGACAACTTTGGTGATGAGCGGAGCCTGATGCATGAGGGTGAGGTCTCCTGTGTGTGTACTGCAGCGCGTGTTACATTATGACTGGTACTGTACATAATATTTTACTCTGTGGTGATGTAATAGGTAATTATATAGTTCTCGGTGAAACACGAAGCCACAATTAATGGTTGACCTGTCCCAGTCACATCTTATGTCATACACTTACTGTCCTATATATTGTATGTTTCCCCCTAGTGGTGACGAGTTTCCTTTATCTTACAGTATAATCTGCAGTGTGGCAGAGTACGGTGACGAGAACACTATTCATTCGTACGTTAAGGTAGCGACAGGTGGGTGGTTATTAAGCCAGGTCCTGTATCCGTTTTACTGTTTGAACCTTGAAGTTACATGAATTGGTTAATATCATCATCGTGTTATTTAGTTGTTTTATTATTCACGACCAACAGCGTAGTACTGGTGGTAAGACGAGGCCTTTGTGTGGGGTGCTGGCCTGGTGGTAAACTCGAGCCTCAGGACTCTACTCTGAGAGAGACAACACAGTCACTGCCAGTGGTGATAACGACACTCACACAGCAGAACCTTACAAGGGTTCCTCCACTACATTTACCCTCTAAGTGGGGAAGAGATTAAAAGATCCTGTTACGCCATACTTTACGTGTAATTATCAGGTGAAAAAAAAAGAAGCTTGGCGTTAATCTTGAGGTGACCGAAATTCTCTTATCTCTCTCAACATTTAATGACGGCGTTATCAGATTTTTGTATTTCTTATTCGTTGTTAATGATCGATATATATATATTTGCTCGACCCTTACAGTCTAACACCCCTGAGCCACTCTTCATCAGTGTTGTCTGTCTCCCACACTGTCAATTTGGTTCCTATCAGTAGGGGCATCTCCTGAGGGGTTTCTGTGCGGCGGGTCACACACACACACACACACACACACCTGTTGGGTTGTCCACATTATCATCACATCCGGAGAACTTACTTGATGCTCCACCAGGCTTGTGTAACAGTTCATAATCAAGGGTTATGAGTTGGATGGAGTTAAAATTATCAAGAGTGTTATTTTATCATACAGTATTTCGGGTTATTTGGCACTATTCTTTTTTTTTCGTGTGAGTGAAAGACAATGCGGTCAACGCCCAGAATATTACATTTTCATCGAGTTATGATTTTCCCACAACTTGTGAGAGTAAACATGCACCAAACACACACGTCAGTTGCGGCATGAAGACGACACACGGACAGACAGCCACAGATAGGTTCACTTATCATAATTTAGGAAAAAAAAGGACGTTTGAATTTTACACTGAGGCCCCAGGGTAGTACGTGTCTAGACCCCAGGGTAGTACTGTCTAGGTCTCAGGGTATAGTACGTGTCTAGACCCCAGGGTAGTACGTGGGTAGTACTGTCTAGGTCTCAGGGTAGTACGTGTCTAGGTCCCAGGGTAGTACGTGTCTAGACCCCAGGGTAGTACGTGTCTAGACCCCAGGGTAGTACGTGTCTAGGTCCCAGGGTAGTACGTGTCTAGACCCCAGGGTAGTACGTGTCTAGACCCCAGGGTAGTACGTGTCTAGGCCCCAGGGTAGTACGTGTCTAGCTCTCAGGGTATAGTACGTGTCTAGGTCCCAGGGTAGTACGTGTCTAGGTCCCAGGGTAATACGTGTCTAGGTCTCAGGGTATAGTACGTGTCTAGGTCTCAGGGTAGTACGTGTCTCCACAGCCCCCTTCACCCTCGAGGACACTAATAGGGATGATCTACTGGTATTGTGGGACTATCACGGGGGGCGGGGGGAGCCATTGCTATATTCGTGATATTGAGAAACACAAACTTTTTTTATGTGTTTATTTCTTATTAAAACTGATATAAAATGTTAGTTCTCTGTGGGGAGTTTATCCTTCAGAGTAAATCCGGATGCTGCAGTAAATAAGGCATGAGATACTATATGATCATGTAAGTTGATTTGGAACTTTTGGATCATATAATATCCTGTGCAGTGTAGCCGGGCAGTTAATCCCGAGTGTGCTGGGGTGTTTTTGTTGTGGGTGAGTTAACTGTACTGAGATCCTTCCCCAAGGAATGAACAATCTGCTTGCGACATATTTATGCTTAGGAATTCTGAATATTTGTTGTCTGTCTTTAGTCTTTTCTTATTCGTGTATAGTGTGATTGTGATCTGTGTTTTTAAGCTGTGGAGATAATGAATCACTTGTCTCAACCTTGTGCCTGGTAAAAAAAACTGGCGTTACAAGAAGGCCAGTCTAGTTTCTTAACAAACATTCATTATTTTTAAGTTGTAGTCCTTATCAGTCGTAGATTATATCGTACTTCATGATGTGGAGTCATATTTCGTGTATAGAGTTCACTTTTATGGAATGTCGCAACTTTTAGTGATATCACTAGTTAAAGCATCCCATTAGGTTAGCCAGATTAAGAAGTTCTGTAATATGTAACAAGAATAACGGTGGCGGCTACAAAAACAGAATCCTTAGAAAGCGGCCGCTCAGGAGTATAGTTTCGGGGAGTGAGGCGACAGTGCATGCCAGGGATGCCTCCTGACGCAACCGTGGGGGTCACACACACACACACACACACACACACACACCACCTCCTTGTCGTCATGCTGTAGATGAAAGTGCAAAAACAAAGAAATATAAGCTTATTTTAGCAGAGGGTGCGTTCTATAGGTCGTTTTGCCTTTGCTTCTTGACGGTCTTAATCTTGAGGGTGATGAGTCTGGTACAGTACTGTGTGTAAGGCTGATCAGCAGTGCATCGTCTGTGTATATATCTTTTGGTGACAAAATATAACCAGTTACTTCTGAGCATTAGCACCCTATACCCTACACATCTTTAGTGTAAGTTTCCAGGCCTCGAGTGTTCCTCCGTCCATTGCTGTTAAGGTTTACGGGCTTTAGTTAATTACGCGTACTGTAATAACTGGGACACGGATGTATTAATTCTCACGTTTGTTGTTACATTATTCAGCGGTGTGTCGCAGTATCTTGTTGGTTTATGGTCGTTTCAATAAAATACTAATAATGTTAATCTCTGGAACACAAAACAAGTGCATTTGATGAAACCAGCTTTTGGGTGATTACAGTATCTGTATTGTTTTGAGACAACAAGCTTCAGCCAATCACAAGCTGATCTGCTTGATGTTGCAATATCTGACCACAAATCACAATATTGAGCTTTAGTGCTGTTTGGGTAGTGGTGAGTGACGGATGTTCATGTTTGTGTGGCATCATTTGAGACGTGTTAACACAATAATATCCACGATGTTATTGAAAATTTAAACACAAAAAGTGCCTTTGATATTATTGATAAATTGATAATCTCTAGACTTATAATTTGCATTAAGAGTGGTGGTAACGGGGATATTAGTGACATGGAGTCAATGTTCCAGAATGAAAGTGAAGAAGTTAGCATCTGTTACCTTGGTCACGTGAGCACCTGCCACAGATCACGCTTACTGAGGCTGGGCCGCTGGGGTATAGTCTTACGTTCCGCCTAAGCTCTGATAACCCCAGTAAGAGGAAGATTAACTACAAGCAGTATCCTGTATACATTTAAATTCTTTAAACAGATGAGTACAACATTGTGAGCCAAGGTTATACCAGTGTCCCATGCGCCAAACCTTCAGACATGAGACATTTCTTCCAATGCGACAAAGTAATACGGTGTGTTTTATCTTATTGGCCTTATCAATGATTGTTTTTTTAGTTACCGACAAAGTAAACAGGTGTCACTAGGTACAGTACTGTCATGGAGATTCACGTGGCTTCAAAATCATGAGTTTGGATAGCTTACGACAGCTTGGGGTTATCACCGGCTTTCAACCTTTGGGGTGTTTATAAAACCAATTACAGAAATCTGGTGATATTTTGCTTGTTCTTTTATGTACCAACGATCTTGCTACACTAACACAATACAGCACTCGTAGTCTTTTTCAACTTAATATATTATCTTGTGATGTGTGGTGAAGGGATAAAGTATGTTGCCTTCCATGCCATCTTATTTGTGGAAACTCTTATTAAGATTGCTTAACCTGATGTGGGTTGAGTTTTTTTCGTATTGTTATTTCTGTGATAGATGCAGGTACAGATATTTGTGTAGTAAACATGTTGATTGGCCAAGTTGGGATGAATGATCATCAGAAGTTATTGAAGGAAACCGAGTGGGTGATTTTTTTTATTTTTTTATTTCTTGATAAAATGTTACAGATATAAAAATAAAACATACCATTAGGGTAAGCCATCATCAACAGTTGCAAAAAAAAGGTATATTCCTTCTGGTACATTAGTTGGGGGGTTGTAGACAAGGAATTAGCAGATGCCAAGCACCAGGATATACAGTAGGCTATATATACTGTATACATACCCCTATATATATATATATAGTACTGTATTCAAACTGAAATTGTTGATGCCAGTTTTATTTTTGTTATACAGCAACAGCAGTAAACTTATGTCTACTTATATGGATCATCACAATGTTTATACATTATACATGTATTTGTTATAGTCAATAAGAATAACAGTACAACATGGCAACAGATATCTTCATCACATAGTGAAAAACCATTTACACTCATAAATAAGTAATTTTGAAAGAATAAAAAGAAAATAATATTGCCCATATACACAGACAGACAGACACACAGTATAATTTCACTTAATTCACTCCAACTCTTGTTCCGAATAAATCTTAAATAAATGAGTTAAAAATTAACAGGCTTATGGATCAACTACAGTACACTACACTACTGTAGTGTCAACATACTGTAGAAACATCTTGTATTTAGCAGCACAGTCAACCTGACAAAAATCACAGAACCTACCACAAAAATGTGCAACCAACCTTTATATACAGACATGCACACAGAAGCAATAGGTGATATACAATTCATTGTACTCTATCGTTTGGTTTCAGTGAGTCATTTGAATAAATAATAATTATTTTTATGTTTTCAGTCATAGATACAGGGAGCATATTGTATAAAATACTACTTGGATTTTCAAGATAGTAAAAGATATACGTACAGTAATTATGTAGTACAGATATTCCCTCAATACATGTTGATGGCTCCCAGTTTTTTCCTTAGATATATTCAGTAATTGTTAGACCTCGTATATGAATGGTATCTGATGCCACAGTTCTCTCTGGCTGGCCAAGTAAAACAGTCAGTGTATGTATTGTACTGTACTGTACCATTTTAACTGAAGAATGATATGAGATCTACTGTATTAGAGAATTCCTTAAGATTTAGTTCATTCTTGCAGTGAAAACTTCCAATCAAGTACTTTTTCATGGCGATTGTTTTGTAGAAATGAATAAAATTATTCCAGTTTTATATGTCTACTGCTTTCTGCAAACTAGTAACCTGCTCGTGAGTACAGTACTTTGCAGATGTATACAGTACTGTATATATACAATCATTATTTAGTTACCAGATGGCCACCCAAGCTAGAAGTCATCATGCCTGTGTAGGATCCATTGATAGTCTTATCAAGGGCTGTTTAGAAGCCCAGTACTGTTCTCAATTTCATATTTTAGGACACTGGATTGGCATCAGCAGCAGACTAGTTATGGACTCATTACTATTCATTGGGAGGCCAAACAACATGTCAGTGGTATTAATATTATTAAATATAATAATACAGTACCATATAAAATATCTGGTACAATTGTGGAAATGTGTTCCTACATCCCCTGTGGTAACCCGTGTTGCAAAACGGCCAACCTGTATGACCTATAACAAACTTATCCGCCAATCATGTCCATCATTACACAACCAATACCCATGTATTCATAAATAGTGATACAGTACTACTGCGATGTTGCCGTTTGGAGCCACAGGGGTGTAGGACCACATTTCCACAACTGTATACTACATGGTAATACTATTTGAGTTTACAACAGCATAATACTGTACAGCATACATTTATGTAAAATATTTGGTACATACAGTACAGTAATACTCTTTGAGTTTACAATGCCATAATAATATAAAGTAACTAAAGAATATTCTAGGAAGGACTTTGCTGTAATCCCTATTTAAAATAAATCAGTATTTGGTAATTATCAATCAGTTCAGAATCATATGGGAATGAAATTCGTGCATATATAAGTTGCTGTACTGTACAGTTCTTACATTGGCTTTTTTTTTTTAAATAAACCGTCAGTACTGTACAGGCACCAGGTAGGCTACAGAGTAACTTTCATAATGATTATAAAAATCATATCAGGTGTAAGGCAACAAGATTATTGTCCTAATACAGTAATTGTTATTCTGTTTTATAAAGGATAGTAACAAGTTAACTAATGTTAACTTGGGTTTGTCTTACCACCAAGGAGTAAAGGCTACACCTGAGCACTGTACCTGTATATGGTGATCTAAATGTAATTTAAAACATTTTTACAATCAACTTATAAATATTTTCGTTTTTCTTAGTATAAATTATAAAAAACCTTTTTTTTACCATTATTAAAAACTTTGGACTGGAAATTCTATGTAGTTAGAATCGGCTTTACCAACTCTGTATGAGTGCCTTGTGAGGTATTATCTTGTCTCTTGAGCCCCAATAGCTAATCATTACTACACACTGATGGAATTGGGAACAATTTCAGGGTCCAACCAGTCAAACTTCCACGGACGGTCAATATTGCGGCCCTTCATTTCATAACTCAGACGCTTCAGGTCCTTTTGGAATCTAAAAATCATAAAATAGTTTTAAAAAATTGCACTTGAAATTTTTGCGTCACATTTACATCAACGCCCCGATATTTTTCATTCATATTTCCACATTATCATCTAAAACTTTACTTTCCTTTTGCTTTGTGTAAAATAAACAAGAGCAAGCTTCTAGGTAAATATGAATACTGTAACATGCATAACACAAACATGAAGAAACAGTTATAATAACCACAATACTGTATGATTATGTCTTAATAAACTTACTCCTCTGCAGCTTGCACGCCTACTGGATCATACAAGTATTGCATCTCAAAATCACCCAAGCTCTTGGTCCCCCTGCTGGACAGAAGCTTTGTGATAACCATAATGTCCAGGGTCATCCTCTTGTCAGGTAACATGGCCATGATTTCTTCCTCTGTGTAGTTTTTCTGAAAACCAATAAAGATAGAAAGTTAAGCTGCTCTCTATAAAGTATTGTAGCTTTTGCATAATTTCTTTCATATACACTTAACTCTTCACTATGTCCTGATATCATATTGATGACTTGAAAAAAATTCCTTTTCATCTCACACAGAAGCACTTCTAATTGCCTTTTCCATGCACAAACTCAAAATATAATATTTTATTTTGTCACCCACAATAAAACCTCTCCAATTTTCAGTTTCATTCCAGCCTCTCTGCTACCCTTGTTTCATGTTGTATATACAGTACAATACTGTATAAGAAAACTGAGCCAATTTCAAATTACAGTCAACCCTCGCTTTACGCGGTCCCACATTACGCGTTTCCACGTTTACGCGGTACCCTGCCGAAACCAGAATGCTCACTTTCCGCGGTGCGTGTACCCCTTTACGCGGAGAGCGGCTGGCGAGCCGCGCCATTTTTGGATCCAAATCTCCCGCCATCCGCCATGTTGTGTAAGCGGCTCGAGTAGGTTGCGCAGTGTGTGTCTTTGTTGCGTTATCAGTGACGTCATATGACGTATCGGACTGTGATTGGGCCATGCATCCTTACCTCCCTCCGCTGCTAGCTGTGATTGGTTTAAAGTAATATGACGTGTCCACCCGCGGGAGGGAGGGAGGAAAGATGACGCTTGACCTAGCCGCAGCAGTTTCATCCCTCCAGGCCACACCGTGTAAACGTGCATCCATGCTCTGTAAAATGGCTTCCGCCAGACCACCGCCCCCAGAGAGAAACCTTTCCTTACCTGGACCCTGTTGTCACGTATGGTTAGCCCATTAGTTTGCTGCACCAATAACGTAACATGCTTTTAGCATTCAAATTTAAACTGCCGTTTAATAAAACCTCAAACAATCTCCGAAATCACCCCATCTTATGGTAATGGTTTATAATCAATACTAAGCATTAGTCCATATCTTCTCTTTTAAGTCATCTAACACCTAGCTGTTCCTCCCGGATCAGCTGGGGTTAGTAAGTGATGCTGATATACATTATAATAAAGGTGGGTTAGGAGTACAGTACATACCTTCTCCTTGGGGATATCTAGCATTAAAATTCCTGGGTAGTTGGGGACAAATCCATATTGTTCATACTGCTGGAAGTTAGCAGCTGCGTGTCCCAGAGAGCAAATGGAGATGATCACAGTTACTACATCAATCACCTCTTCAACAGTTGTAAAACCTGAGAATAAAAAAAAATTCTCTACTGTAATATAGAGGATATGAGGTACATATCTTGCCTTCAACTTTCACTTGTACATTACTACTAACTTAACCATCAAGTAACTGTAACCTTGTACTGTATGTACACTGTACTTACGAATGTGTAAATCCCATGATGCTGTAAAAGACGTGTGTGTGTGTGTGTTTGTAATTATAACTACAATAACCATACTCCCACTTATTGGTGTTGATGGAACTGAGGGTCTGCTAGGTGTACATTTATTGGGGGTACTGTATGTTTTGAATACTAACCAGAAAGTCCACCACAGCACAGTTATATAATGTTCATAAAGAAACATCCACATATTTCTGTATATTGAGTGTTAGTCAATATTTTCTTCCTTTAAAAGTAACTGTTGCTTTTGAGGAATAAAACACCAATTGCAGGTACAGTAATGTAGTACATTGTTATTATAGCGGTAACTTTGAAAACCTTACCATCAGCTGTTCCGGGGACATTCTGTAGTCCAACTCCATTTTCATCTCTCGACTTGACCAGTTCTTCACGCCACCACCGAAGCTCCCAGTCTCCAGAAATTTTCTCTGGGGTGTCTGTTTAAAGTTTATTTATTAACAAAATTAATATGCTGTACAGGTATTGATTATGAAGTACAGTATTAACATAATATATAAAGCATATTTGATCCCACAGGATTTTTATTGCTCACAAAACTGTAGGGTAAATTACTGTCTTCTAACATCATCGTTAATGATTTTCACCCAGAGCAAACTGCTGTCAAGGAGTTAAAGTACTAAAGGTCAGAACCCTACATACTGGTACATGTGGGTCATACTTTATGTTTTCTTGTACAATACAGCAGTAGCACGGGGATAGATCAGACAAGTGGGAATTAATTATTTAACCCCTTCACTCTGGGTACTTTACAACACGCTTAATATTCTATTTGGTGAGAGATAGACGATTTTATTGAGCAGAGAGGCCCCTGTAGAGAGAGGTTAACAAGTTTCCTCTTGCCACAGATTGAAGGTATTTGATGCAGGAAGTTAAAAACCCAATTGTTGAAGATTGTGTTATAAGAAGAACACTTTGTGATGGAATTTTATAGTGCTAGTCTGGGATTTAAATGAATTTTGGTTGGTTCTGCAGATTGGAATACTGAAAAAAAGGGGCACATAGCCACTCACATTAGGCTCAAGATAGGTGCAAGTGGTAACATTATTTAGTGTAATTGATCACAAGTGACGAAAATTATCTGCAGAACAGGAGGAGTTATTAGATGTTGGTGTAAATATGTAGACCTGGAAATTTTCTGTGAAATTTAATTTTGTTGATTGTTTAGTGGCATTTTTCTGCCCAAATTGAAGTGCCACAACACCACACCCTGGCCAGAGAAGACAGCAGTACAGTATTCCATCTGGTAGTACAGATAACTCTCACTGATGGTTCTTAAAAATTTTGGCTCAAGATTTCTTAAGTTGTGTCATGGTAATATGTGAAATACCACATGGGACATGCCTAAAATTTCTTACAACTGTGAGGTTGAAAAGTGTTAAAATCTGTCAAATTTTGCAATGTTGAGACTGTTGAATGTCGAGTGACCCATACTCAGCTGTGCAAGTTAAATTTTCCTTTAGAGATAAAGATTTCTGCAGTATAAGACGAATTGGGTTGTTTGTTACTGAGCAAAGATTATAAATATGTAATAAGGCTGGTAAGAGGGATTTACCGTAATGGTGCTTAACAACAGTTGTAACATATTTCTTGATGACATTATAGAGGGGAATAGCATCATCCCTGTATGGGTAGTATGGGAGAATAGTCTTGTCCAATACTCCTCTAGCTTCCAGCTCTTTCTCAACTTGTCCCTCCCGGTCAAATCTCCAGCGGTCAAAACCTCTCTTCATGAGGTTGAAGATTCCCGTCACCCCTTGAGTCATACAGTTATCAACCCAACCACCAGGGGCTACCAGCTTTTCCAGTCCTCTCCTGAAAGAGGTAAAATTACTGTATTATTATACTGTACGTTATTGGAATCTGATTTTATTTGGTACAGCAAATTGTAACATCTTTATCCAATTTCTTTACAATATAGAGTAATTTAGAGAATTTCTTACCAATAACTTTGGAGGACTTAAAATCTCATATAACAATTCCTCGTAAAAATTTAACCGAGTTATCAGGGTTCTCATCAAAGGTCAGTAATCAGATAAATTGTTCTGCCCTTGTTAGTAGTTCACCTAGACATGTCTGTATAAGCCGAGGCTTATCATTCCAGAAATTGACAGTTTATTTCCTGTGATCTTAGTCCTCAGACCCCAGGTACACCTGAGAGAGACCTCCTGACTGCTACCAAATACTGTACCTCCTCAGACAAAAATACTACCATAAAAGATTTGTTAATCTATACTGTAGCTCTATTGTCTTTGGATGTTTTCTGAGGTAGCCAGAATTTTGTTAACTTTGCTTTTTCTGCACAATCATTCATTAGCTTTCATCAATTACATAAACCTGATTACAAAAGACTTCAACAGATATATTGAAATGCTGCTGTTTGGGCATTTAAAACTTAAGCATTCATAAAGTTTAATAAGCTACTGATACAGACATGCCAACTTACGTGTTGATAGCCAGCAGGAACAGGAAATGAGGAGCCATCAGTTTGAACAAAGGATGTGATGGTGAGAGGTTTCTGTGTGTACAGATGACCACTCCTTCCATCAAAAGGTGTGTGTAGCCCAGATGTGTTAGAGCCTGATGATGCTGTGCTTCTACGTTGTTGTAGAACATCTTTGCCACCAACCATGTATTTGGTGGGTCATTTGGTGTGTATACCTGTATGAAGGGTTGAAGGTTATAGTATTGATTAAATATAGTTAACAGTACTATAAATGGTTTACTATTTAAGACTATAAAACTTGATAATAAATAGTGTTCACCTAATGCTGAGCCACTAATATACATACTCCGTATTTCCTCCATTCTTATGTTCTTATGTCTCAATGAATGATAAGTGGTTATGACTGTGCAGTCTGGTGATAGTCGAAACCATCAACGATTTTAGCCCTTATGGATCTTCTGAAGATTAGCTCCATCCCCAGATAGTTTTGGAGTGGTTAAACTTCCGGCTGGTTAAGCCTTTGTGGGAGCTTAAAAATCTTCAGGTGGTCCATAAAGGCTGCATTAAAAAAAAAGAAAAATAAGAAGGATCACATGAAGGTATGCTCACCCTCAGCTTACTCCTGAAGATTAACCATCCTGATGGTTACCTAAGCTGACCACCAGGTTGTGTTAGGTTGGTTAATCTTCAGGTGGAATAAACTGGGGGGGTTGGGGGGGGGGTTTAAGTGATCCAAATATAAAATGTTCTCTCCACAAAAAGGTCAGGACATTGAAAATACTACTCTATATACAAGTTGGAAAAAAAATCAGTTTTATATGTCAATTGAAATAAACTAGAGTAATATTTACAGGATTATCAGGTCCTCTTTTTTGTTTCAGCTGTATGGCGACGGGCAGCAAAGAGTTTTCACTGTTTAGATGGAAGAGTGCCAGAGGAGATGCTAACTGTAAGAAACAAGGTAAACTGTTTATCATCATCATCTCAAAATAGCTGTATTAGTTTAGGAAATTGATCAACAAACTGCTCATAAACATTCAATGAAATTATAAACTATTGTTCAGTGTTATTGTGTCAGAATAATCTTTACAGATTTTATATCAAATATTGTTCAGTGTGCACACACACATAATTCAAGTATCATTTACAATTACTGTATGTAATTCACCAACGTACCCCATAGTTGCCCTCCTTGCAGACCAGACCATCTGTTATTTCCAGGTCACAGATGAACATCTTGTTTTTCTCAAGAGCTTCAGCTAGAGACATTTCTCCCAGGAAACCTTTCACAGTTTCTTCAGTTACTGCAAAGCTGCAAGTAATTAAGAGGTGAGTGTTATGACCCCTTAATGAGAAGTTACATTGGAAATCTTGCAAATCAACAAGGAGACAAAATTCACTGACAGCAGTTTATCATTTAGTATAGTATCAAATTAAATAGATTTTTTATATTTAGTTTGCATATTCATCATAGTAAAAACAAAAAAAGGTAGTGGATCCATAGCTGGCAAATTATGAGGAATACTGTACCTACAGTAATAATGATAAGCATCTATTGTTTTATCTTACCATGTCAATAAATTTTAAATTCGTACCCCATATTTGGTTGTTGGTTTTAAAGCGTGCCAATGAAGTATTATTTAAGACTTAAAAGAGATGTATTGTAACAATACATAGAGAGATAGACAGAGATGGAGAGATGAATTTAGCAAAGTATAGCAATTAGGAGGATGAGGGACTGAATTTAACCACATCTTACTTGTCAGGGATCTTTTTGCACAGACGAATAACATTGGGATTAACTCCTTGAAGTCTCTGCAGCCCAAACCACCAGTCCTCTTTCCATACACCAATGCACTGAAATATAAAGAAGTGTTTTTTTTTTATTTAAATCTTTGCCGAGTATAATATGCCCTGGTTACAAACTTGACAACATTTACATAAGGCTAATTTAAGGACACTTGTTATTTCACTTGTGTATAATGTGATTCATCCTTAACCATACTTCTCAAAGCTCATTGGACAAAGTTCAGTACTGATGACTAATTACATTATGTACATTAATACTTGGATGTTATGTCATATTGGGAAGAACTTGAAAAATGTAAGATGAGGGAGAACTTGCAGTGTCATGTTCGAGTACAGTGAGTTCTGCTTATAACGCGTGTTTTGACAACGCGAATTGGCTCTAACGCGATTTATGAATAGAGGAACGATATTTGTATAACGCGAACGCTTGTTTGCTGTAACGCGATTTTTGCTTAATATTTCTCCAATTTTGTGGTATTAACTGTGAATATGGTAAAGAAGAATATCTCCATGAAGCGTTCTGGTGATCGCATTCCCGGTGATGATAGTAAAAGAAAGGCTATAACCCTTGAAGAGAAGCTCGATGTCATCTACCTCAAAATCACCCTTCTCCCCCATCAAGTTATATTCATATTTTTTCAAGGTAAAGTGTTACATTTACTGTATGATTTCATTCTTAGATATGAATGTAACATTTATTTAGACTGTGCTATCCTTTGTGTTAGGCTAACTACTAAATTTTTTTCGATTTTGAGTAGTAATCTGCACCTAACCCTATTTTCTCCATAAGCCCTGTTATTTCTATTACGAGAATTTCTATAACACGATGTTTTACACGAACACAACTATCGCGTTATAGCAGAACTGACTGTATCAGAATTTATCAACATTACTGAATAAAGACATATTGGTAAAGGTGGAGGATACCGTTAGCATCAGAAAAAACTTATGGAATTGAGCGGAAAATTTCTGGAGATAATATTTGCATGATACTGAACACATAAACAAAGACCGGGAACACTCCAGCATAGCAGACAATGTGAACTAAAACATTAGTCGCTTTGAGAGATCCCATGGCACCATAATTACGGTAAGTACAGTACAAGGTGTATTTTATTTCTTCGTCTACAAAGGACGTAGAGATCTGAAATTACTGTACAGTACTGCCATTTGATCAGTGTTCATAGTGTTTTTTCCAGTTATTCCCTCTTCTTTCATTCCCTGACCACAAACCAGTAATTTATGATTGAAGGATAGACTGAAAAAAAAATTGCATTGAGGAGGGTACACTAGTCTAGAGGCCCCCCCTACCCCTAACCTCTTCATATTTATCAATATTACTTCATAAATCAATCAACCACCATTTACAATAATTGTTGTTAATAAAATTCGTGTCCAGGAACACTAATGCAGAAACTTACCGTAGGTTCTCCCAGACTCTGCCGGTAAACTCTCTTCAGATCATCCAGGGTGTTCCATTTGCTTGTTGTCCACTCGATGAACTTGGTCTGGGCCAGCAGGTTAAGTTTATCAGTTGCAAATGTCCACTGAAATTGAAAAATGCGGGTGTTGGGATTATTGTACTTCTTTGAAATGTTATCCAAAGGCAATGACTGTCTTATCAAACATTATCACATTAACTCACAGTTTTGCTTAACAGTGGTTAAAACTTAATATATATTGAGCAGTGGAGAAGAGGATAAAATATTACATGTTGGTCTCAACCATTGTATCATTGAATATACTTACGTAATATTCTTCTGAGAACTTTTCATCACTGGGCAAGTTTTCAATCTGAAAAAAAAATCCTATTAAAACAGAATACAGTACTGTAGTGTAATCAGTTCAACAGATGTTTTAATGGAAAAAGAAACAACATTAATAAGGAGAATGAATAACTGATTACTCACTTCAAACGCTCAGTGATTCGTGAGAAAAGATGATATGAAACAACCCAGCTCGGATCATCTGAAGATTAGGTCCCCAGGTTACTTCACTGATTGCCTATCCTAACCCCTCATTAAGATGGTTAATCAATAGGGGAAATAAGCTGGGGGGGCTAATCCTCAGGTGATACATCTGTTTAAACACCATGTAATGTTAGAAAAGAGCGTAAGGAAGTATAGTGCAGGTATTGCAGTATCCAATTAGGACACACTTCAGGGCGTTATGCATGCCTGAACCCGCCACAGGGCAAATACTGTACACTAGTCAACAAAAGTCATGTTGCTTCATCTGCCTCTCCATGAACCCAGAGATTCAGAGACTTCACAGGTTCTGAATCTCTGGGTTCATGTTGAGGCAGGTGAGGCTGCACGACTTTGGTTGGTGAGTGTAAAACCGCAGGACAGATGAGTAAAAATAAAAATTAGCCAGACTGAATTAATCGAATTTGTAATCAAACGTCTATGAAAGAATATAGCATTTTTATTAGTTTCGGCATTATATAAAATAAAGCAACTGGTGATACGAACGTGCGTTTTGGGCTGATTCTTGAACCAGAATGACAATTACTTCTTCATACATAAAGTGGCGTAATCATTATATGTCAGCCAGCGAGACCTGCAAGCTTCCGCAAATGTAGTTTTATGAAACCGTGTACAATGTACTGTACTGTATAGATGTTAACTCTGTAGAAGTAAAAAAAAATTATTTGTATATCATTCATATTCTTGAAAATCAGTTTGCTTACCCGTTTATCCACTAGTAAAGGTAATAATATTTAAAGATACAATAGTTCTGTTTCGTATGGCACTTAATTTCAATGGAGTAATGTTGGCTGGTTTTGTTTATCGCCAATAATGGTGTTCCAGTAACTATATCCTTGCCCAGACAGGACTTGTACACCCCTAGTGATATTACGTACAGGAAATGGCTACTTATCCGGGAATTCCCGGCCTGGCAGAATGGACGAGCTCAGCGATCATATTCTCGGCTAATTCGTGCGGTCTTTTAGCATTACACCTTCGTAATTTATGAATATAAATGTCATGTGAAGGTTGGTTATCGCTGGACCTCTCCCACCGTTTCTGACCTGCTGGCTGGTAGGATTTGTGACCTCAGGGACGGATCAGAGGGTCGCACCTATGACCTCACCTACCAGCCATAGTTACATTTAAAATGACGAATACCTTAGTTGGTTGTTTGATTTTGTAAATGTTGAACTGCCCGGAACACAACCACCAGCGACACTGCATCACGTGACACAACTGTTACCACCGCTTTCCCGTAGTAATCTTCGTAATGACTTGTAGCTTTCAATATGCACCTGTTGCATGGGGAGTTCTGCATTTCCCACAGTTAGATAATAGCAGACCATTCTTTCTGCTTTCTCACAGGCTGCTCTCGGGTGTGGAGATGATAAGTGTTATATTTAGGGTATTAAATTTAATGGGGCAAGTGATTATAAACGTTGAAGCATTTAGTACCACCCCTTTGTTTGTCACCCGTGTCCAAGCAGCACTAGCACATTATTCAGTGAAGAACTAAATACACTAATGGAAGTTCTGGTCGAGTGCCTCGTCTATTTACGTGGTTATTACACGATAAGGCTTTGGCAGAGAGCCCAGGTGCAGCCAGCCTCACCCGTCAGCACCAGGCACGCCAACTTTCTCATATGCCCTTCTCGCACTTCACTGTTCGCGTCTGGTTATTTATGATTCAGCAGGAGTGTGTTCACGGGATGGCTGTGTTATGACAGTTGACGACATGTAAATGTAAACTCTGAACGGCTCCCGGCGGCTATGAACACAGTTATGTAAGACCTGACTACAGCAACGTCGTGTGCAATGACCTGAGCTGCTGTTGCTGACTGTGTCAGCAGAATTATACGAACCTTGGTCACTGATTGACAAAAAAAATGATATTGTAACTTCACATCAACCTTCTACCACTAAATTAATCAGACCTCAACCAATTCACTCACTTGATATTTGTCAATAGCTGTGAAAATATTAATTTTTAAGTGGGGGAACGTGACAAGAGAGAGAGAGAGAGAGAGAGAGAGAGAGAGAGAGAGAGAGAGGTGAATCCTCGATCTAGAGACGCTTGTAACTACATTCTACAAAATTTGAGAGGAGAAACGGATGAGTGAAGAGTTTACCTGTGCTGGACCATGTTCCACCTTCTGTTCGTATCTATAATCTTTCCTCTTTTGTTGAATATCTATCTCTCGGGCTTGCTGGTTGGGATCCATTTGTGGAAGAAAGCAGTCGTGTAGCTCTAGGATATACTTCCTCTCAGCGGAGACCCACCTTTGTAGGGGGAATACCCACACCCGCCCACCGCTGGCAGACTTGTGCACAGTCTTGTAAGCTTCCTCAGCTTGACTGTTAACGTTGTTGGTGAGGCATTTTTCAGTGTAGTTGCTCTTGTTTAGCACTTCTTCAACTTCGATACGGTCAAGGAACCACTCGGCGGACCCTCGCTTGGACCGGTGGCCAAAGAGGTATTCTGTGATGCGGCCAAAAATTGTAATATCGGCGAAGTTGTCCCTCCACACTTCTATCCTCACAATGGGCCCCTGGAGGCCGCAGTCCACCTTGACGTCCACGGTGGTGGTAGAGCCTCGTTCATTATCGTTGCTGAATGTCTTGTTGCAAGATATGGGAAGGGAAGTCCGCCCGTGAATGTCATGCAGTACCACGCTTACGTTGGCGTCCGTACCAGCACCCCTACGGTCTCCGGTGATTACGTGGACGCGGTACCGAGTGTCTATGAATCCCAACATGTTACTTATATAGTCCTGGTATCTAAACAACAAGTTGCTCACCTCATCCATACTGCATCTAATAAGCGGCCACAGGATGCACACGGATCTGCATGGGGCATTGCTTCCATGTACAGTACACGGTTATTATTTCTTGTTTTCTATGTTGGAACACAATAATGTTCCTGTATAACCAGTTATTTTTCTTATGTTATTTGGGTTCATCAAATTACACAGCCTCCTCACGTAGGGCTTGTTAATAAGACGTGTATTTGCAGCTCATATACTTATGAAAACCGTCTTAGTGGAGGTCACAGCGAGAGTACCGTATAGTCTGGGTGGGTTGCACCAAATAGTAGATCTCTAACACACGAGCTTTCTCGAAGCTGTTACCTGCGCTTATCAGCGATGTCTACAGACAGCTTGTGCACTAGATAAATTTAAAATACGTCTCTAATTTTTTTCTATTTTAAACCAACAGATCAAACTTCTCTTTGATCACTAAATAAGTCACCCAAGGAACTCGGATTAGGTAAGATGGTAACTTCCGCCCGCTGGAGCCAGGAGGTGAATGGAGTAAGGGAGGTTGGCGCAGCCGCTCTTGTATTGCATGAGGGTTGCCAGATAGTAATTTTTCACTATATTTTTTCTCTATGAGAATGTTCCTCACTCAAAACGTTTTAAGGAACTGTCCGGTTGCCACCCGAGCCATTGATATGTATTGATGTTCTTTACTGTTCTGCTGTTACCCTTCTATATCTTGACCTGTAGTGCCCCCAGGTCGCGACCACAGGTATGGCCTGGTAACTCACGCGTTCTCATTGTCAGGGACCAGACTACTGTATTGTTATATACTTAGAAGACCAAGAGGAACACCGAGGCTTGGACTTCATGATTACCCAGCGATGGTCACAGCGAGCCTCTCCTGGCACCGCCAGCTCTCACTTTACTTAAATCTCTAAAGTTGTGAGGCTGCGAAGATGAACAACGGCCGGTTTAGTTGGTTGTTTTAGTATGCGTGTTAAATAATTGGCAGCGGATGACAGCACACATACCAAACATAACAATCACTTTAATTTGTCGCGTTGGTTCGTGTCTCTTGTTATAGATAATTATTATGTACACAAGTTAAATCGCCTGAGGCTTAGTCCCAGTTTATTTTTCCTGATGATTAACAACCCTAACGCTACCTGGGGGAGAGGGTTAGGTTAGGTTAGGTTAAGTTAGCGTGGTTGATCATGAGGTGAGATAAGTTGAGGTGTTGTGCGTGATAGTTAAGAGGGAAAGTGTGAGTCACTGACGAGATTTTATGAGTTTTAGCTACTGTCTGTCATTGGCTGGTGTAGGGTACTGAACACCCGTCCTGCTATTCCACATTGGTGACGCAGTTCTTGCTCCAACCTCCGCCCCAAACACTGCAGGTAACTTGGAACAGGTAACTTGGTAATTTGTGTTTGCACGTTTTGAATATACTGTACAGTATTTTGGTAAACGTTTGCTCCTTGATAGACCAGGAAGGAAACTATATGGGATGTAATGGAGGCTAAGACAAATTAGGTATTTCATCAGACTCCTCAGTGAAAGTCCTGCCTTATGGAGTGACTCACTGAGGAATCCCATAGGTGTTGGCCGGAGGTGCTGGGAATTAACCTTGGTGTAGGCTATGCGAGAGGTCTCACCTGACGCTTGCGTTCAAGGTCTCCTCCTCCATACCTGCTTGACTGACTTGCCTCCAGGCAGTTTCTCTTTCTTTTACTCTTCCGTGTCGTGTTTGCGTGCGTGTCTGTGTATGTGTACGGTAGTTAAGTTCTTGGTAACCGCACAGTCAGCTTGCATCACCTCAGTACTTCTGCTGCACCATCTTGGATAACCTGATATCCTCCCCCCCCCCCTCACTCTTCCTCCCCCTCCCCCCTTTGGGTCTACCAAAACGTTCCTCGGTAAAAATCCACGACAAAGTTAGCCAGCCAAGAATCGTACGAGGGGGGGGGGGAGGCTACATCCGGCTGTGACGACTCATCCTAAAACTGTACTTCATTAATTCAGTTGAGTACCCAGAGTCTCTTTCGTGTATTACTAATAATGT